CTAAACTCAATACCAAAGAGGACTTATCCGGGATACTTACAACGATAATTTGGGTAGCTTCAGGTCAACATGCAGCCATCAACTTTGGCCAGTACCCTTTTGGTGGTTATGTACCAAACCGCCCGGCCATTATGAGAAAACTCATTCCGCAAGAAGACGACCCTGATTACGAGAAGTTTATTTCTAACCCTCAGCAAACTTTCCTTTCTTCCTTGGCAACGAAGCTTCAAGCCACCAAGATAATGGCCGTACAAGATACACTCTCAACTCACTCTCCTGATGAAGAGTACTTGGGTCAGGTGAACCCTCTGGAATCCCATTGGATCAACGATAATGAAGTTATGAAGTTGTTCAATAGATTCTCTGATAGACTGAAGGAGATAGAACATACCATTAACCTACGAAACAAAGATAGCCGTCTTAAAAACAGAAGCGGAGCTGGCATTCCGCCATACGAATTGCTGCTTCCCACCTCAGGCCCTGGAGTTACTGGCCGCGGAATCCCCAACAGCATTTCTATCTGATAGCTGTACTCGGATCAATGCTTTGGTATGTTCTCTTTTGTTTCACTCTGTCGGAAGCCCGTATGCTCAAGCGATCGATTAGTATCTCAATCTATATACAATGTTTGTGCAATTTTAGCTTGTTATTAAACTAGTGACAGATCTGTGATCAGTGTAGTATTGTGTATGTGAAAACATCGCACATACTTTAGAATAATGAGCAATCTTTGCTTGGTGCTCAGTTAGTTGTATGTAAATGAAATCTAAACTAATGCTAGAAGAAAGAAACTGGAATTTATAACTTGGATAATGCAATAAGTCCTTCCTCAGCACTTAACCTTGTGCATTCTTTGATAATTGCGTCAATCAATGATACACGTCGTATTTTCAATATACGGTGCACTTACAGTTGATGCAAACCAAAAACAGAAGTCGTGTTTAAGTAGGGCAGAAACTTGAGTGTAACCGGAAATATATTCCCATCAGTACAACGCAATATGTACACCGGTATGATACGTACGAATCTCCCATTTAAGAAGGGTGTAAAGCAGACAAACCTGGTAGCCTTTGTACTTGATCAAATCCTTTTCCAATCAACGAAAGCAGAAAACCTTCATTGTAACCATCCTACCGAGTCTATTTGTACTGTAGCATTTGCTCATTCCTTATCAAGTGAAATCGAATATAAATGTCTCTCCCTGATCAATTGACTTAATCGATGTTTGTGGCATTGAATCTAATTATCCTTTTCTGATCAACTAACTTAACCGACATCTGCAACACTATCTCTTAAAATGGCAACCGAATGCCACTCTCACAGTTGACCTCGTACATTTTCGCCCAACATGTGACATCAGCTTTCCAGTAGCTCCTTCCACTTGGGTTTCCTCCGGGCCAACCGCCAGCGAATACTAGGGCCCGTTGTCTCCGTCATCCATTACACAACCCCCAGAAAACGACTACTACCTATAATGATCCAACGGCTGGAACTCATTAACGAGTTTACGATTCAAAGCTGTACCAAAGAATTTCTTTTTGCTCACGTTTGCTATATTTAAAAATAAAATATTACCGGCTTTTCTGATCGATTAACAGATGCTTCCTGAACAAAAAGTTACCAAATAAGAACAAAAGTAACTTAAGATTGATGTCCTGGGTTTGATCAGAATCTCAATAACTAAGCTCCTAATCCAAAAAAGCTTCCAACTTTCCTACTTTTACCACCTTAATCTCGATTGGGTAATCACCAATTTAGCTCCAAAGTCCACACCCATCACAATCTCAGCTTTAAGCTCCGTAACCCATCAATGGCGGACCCTCATATAAAAACAGATGAGCCACCTTCCCAGCTTACCCTTCTTCTCGATTCAAATCACAACAACCGCCACCAAGCAGCAGAAGGAGAATACAAAGACACCCAATTGGACCAAACCCTCCAACGGCTAGAAACGTTTCTCACTCTCTTGGGCTTCGATCAATCTTCTTGGTTGAGCCTTGCGCTGTCCTGGACTGCTCTGGTTTTTCTCGGTGTGGTGCTTCCGGTGGTCGTGCTCGAGATGTTCAACTGCTCGGACTGCGAGAAGTATCAGATAAAGGGGTTCGAGCTCGTTATCGTGGGCTCGCAGGCGGTTCTGGCGGCGGTCTCTTTGCTCTGCATCTCCCATTGTCTTCGCAAGTATGGCATTCGGAGGTTCCTCTTTGTCGATCGCTATAGTGGCCGTATGGTTCGGTTTCGAAACGATTACATCAGGCAGATTAAGGTATTATTATAGTTTGAAATGGTTTTACTTGATGATAGGTTTATCATGTATCAATTTCAAATTTGATGATATGAGAATTTTCGTAGTTGTGAAAATTTTACTGTGCTCCGGGGTATGGTATGCATCGGATGAGAATCCAACAGCCAAGGATCCCGGCGTTACTAACTTACTATTGACCGATGCATACTAGAAAATCCTAGTAGTTGTGTGAACGAGTTAATCCAAATTTATGTCTTGAATGCGAAGTAAAGGTGTCCCCTTTGGTCTGATTTCAAATTCGTGATTATAAATATTGTCTATTCAAATCTGTCATGCGTCTGTCTACTAACCGGTAGGATTAGATGGTATGCACATAATGTGCTTACCAAATTCAGCATGTTTTGTTTCCACTTCAGACCTGCAGGTGAAAACATAATCGAAATCTTCCATCTTTGCATTTGTTTACCAATATTGATAGGCATAGCACACACTAGCTGCAGCCAGCAAATATCGGGAAGACTTAACCATGTTATCTGTTTATTTTAACTTGTATAGACAATTTTGGCCTGAAGTTTCCAGTGCTTATTGTGCTTAGAACTTTCCTTGGGTATCGTATCTTTAACAGGGTTCATTACGCCTGCTCATTTGGTGGGCGCTGCCGTGTTTTCTTTTGAAGACTTTGCGTGAGGTCATCCGGATGATATATGTCCATCAGTCATGGTGGCTGTCATTTGCTGTATTACTAGCTTTGGTTCTATCATGGGCTTATGTGAGTACAATCACTCTAACAGCCAGCATTTTATTTCACTTGATCTGCAACTTGCAAGTTATCCACTTCGATGATTATGGAAGGTTCTTGGAAAGGGATTCTAATGTGTTGCTATTTATGGAGGAGCATATTCGTCTGCGGTATCATCTTCATAAAATAAGCCACAGGTTCCGGATCTTCCTTCTTCTGCAGTTTATAATCGTCACCACGAGCCAGTTTGTGACTCTATTTGAGATCACAATATACAGTGGAAAAATCACTGTTATAAATAGCGGCGATTTTGCAGTAAGTTCAATGCTTTTTGTGAATCTACTTCTCCGTTGATTAACTTCTCACTCTTACAGGCTTAGATTCAAAACCATAACGGATTCCCCCATTTAACACTGTACCTCTCTGAAAACTCTCTAATCATCATTGATTGCAGACTAAATTTAATGCATTAAATTTCCTTCCTCTTTTTCCATCAAATTTTCAGGTCTCCACAATTGTTCAGGTTGTTGGCATTATTCTTTCCTTGCACGCAGCTACTAAAATTTCTGGTAGAGCCCAAGGTATAGCGACAGTTGCCAGTAGATGGCATGCGTTAATGACATGCAGTTCTAATGATTCACCGCATAACAGAAGTTCAGACAGTTTGGTGAACTTTGAGGCTGCCAACAGATTGAGCTCACTGCATACAAGTTACTCTGAGAGTGATTTGGAGTCAACGGATTTTGTTCATGTGCCTACAAATTCCCAGCTGGCTTCACATATGGCTTCATACCACAAGAGACAAGCTTTTGGTATGCATGCTTATGCTGTTTCAGTTCTTCCCGTTTGTATCAAACCTTATATTTCAAGCATTCTGTTTACCATTTTTGTGTTTGAAAAGAAGGCGCTTTGGTCATCATTTATGGTTGATCATCATTTATGGTTTTCGTTTGTTCATTTCCGTGGTTCAGTCTTACTGGTTGTTGATTGTAGCTCATACTCTATCCCTTTCTGCAATGCAGTGTTATACTTGCAAACCAATCATGGGGGAATAACAATTTTTGGATGGATGGTCGATAGAGGCCTCCTCACCACGATCTTTTTCATCGAACTATCTTTGATTACCTTTCTTCTTGGACAGACAATAGTTTTTTCGGCTGCTTGATGCATTGATCTGTCCTGGCTTGCACCTTCATTGCTTTGACTGTTTGCTTGGTTTTGTGAAGTGTACAAGAGTATATGGAGGGGGGATAGTTTAGGCTTCTTTTGGTCCAGGTAAGTACGCCATCAAGGTCAGCTCTCAAGGCATTACCAGCTGATCTTCTACGAAGGTAAGGTTTTAACAGTGCATAGTCAGTGCAGCTGAATCATTATTTCCAGAATTAATTAAGTAGTTACTTGACACTTGTATTAACATTTTCAGAGGCATGGCTGTGGAAGTTCCTTTGATTCCTAGGGTAATAGAGGACCATCCATACGCTGTGGATGGTCGCTATAAAAGATGGGTAGAATCATACGCGGAACACTACTACTCAGTAAATTCTGTAGCGTCCAAGGTTGAGCTCCAAGAATGGTGGAGTGAGATCATGAATAAGCGTTACGGCGATTCAAGATTCTCTCTCAACTCGCTCCCCTCATGCATAGTGAAATTTGGAAGTCCTTCAACAGATTCTCTGCTAGAGTAAAGAAGATAGAGAAGACCATTGACCTAAGAAACAAAGATAGCCGTCTTAAAAATAGAAGCGGAGCTGGCATTCCTACATACGGTTGCTGCTGCCCTCGTCAGCCCCCTGGCTAACTTGACTTTGAGTCCCCAGCAGCATTTCTATTTGATGACTGTACAGTATAGCTGAAGACGAATCAATGCTTTGGTATGTTCTGTTTTGTTTCACTATCTGAAAAGCTCGTACGCGTGAGCTTATTAGTGTCTTGATCGATAAACAAAATTTGTGCAATCTTGGTTTGTTTATTGAACAAGTAACGAAAGATCTGTAATAATTTGAAAAACATCGCACATACTTTGGAGTAATGAACAGTCTTTGCTTGTTGCCAAAGCGATTAATCGTATTAACATTTGAGAGCTTGAAATCTAAACCAACACCAGAAGAAAGAAATTGGAATTTATAACTTGGACAGTGCAAGTTTGATTAATTCTTTCCTCAACAATTTACCCTGTGCATTCTTTGGTATTGCTTTGGTGAATGTTACGCGTCGTATCTTCTTATATGGCGCAACCTACAGTTGATGCAGTAGAGTAAAACTAAAATTGGTAAAACTGTAAAACGTCTTTTTTATGGTAGTTAGATGGTGAAAATAGTCTGAGGTTTACCTGTTTGGCAATAAAATCCTTGATCTGTGATTCATCAATGGCACTTCCAAGGCACCGCACCACAAACGCCATGGGAACTTGACCTGCTTCCTCATCCGGGTACCTGTCAATCATTTTCCACTCACCCAAACACAAACTCGATGAGATGTCTACAGGCGAAGCTTGAACTCAATCACTTTCAAACGACAGAGTAAGTTACTTACGGAATCACAGCTGCATCGACAATATCTGGGTGGGAGTGAAGCAGATCCTCCAACTCCGCCGGGGCAACCTGATGCAAACATAAGCAATCCCATTGAAGCGAAGAAGAAAACCAAAGTGTTTGGTTAAAGGGTGAGGTGCAGATGTGGCATACCTGGTAGCCTTTGTACTTGATCAATTCCTTGAGCCGATCGACGAAAAATAGAAAACCTTGGTTGTCAATGTAGCAAATGTCTCCGGTTTTTAACCATCCTTCCGAGTCCAAAATTGCGGCAGTTGCTGCTTCATCACCAACGTAACCTGCACTAATGAGAACCACCACCACCACCAACACCAATCAAAGCATGAACTAGTACTCCGCTATCCAATTCCCCATTGTATTTGTAATTCACTGTCAATTTTTTTCTCTGAACTTGTACTTCACCGTCAATTGTCTCCTTCAACATTTATTTTGAAAAGATTTCCGCATAAGCTAATGAGGATAAGTCTTGACGCAACGGAAATGTTGCTCATTCATTTATGATTGAAAAGTCATGGGTTCAAATTGTAATAAACAAACTCTTTGCAAAGCAAGGACAAAAGGCTACGATAGACGTTTTCCTGTCAGGTGATTAAGAACCAACTTCGTGTCCAGATAAATTACATGTGTGAATATCAACGTTACCTTTCATAATGTTGGGTCCTCTAACACAAAGTTCCCCATGCATCAAAGGAGGCAGCGCAGTGCCACTCTCAGGATCCACAATCTTGGCCTCAAGGTCTGACATCAGCTTTCCATTGGCTCCTTCAACCCCAGTTTCTTCCGGACCCACCGCAGCAAACACTCGGGCCGTCGTCTCCGTCAACCCGTATGCCTGCACAGCCCACCAGACGGCCCAAAACATTAAACGTCGTCGTTAAATCCTTAAGCCCATCGAAAACATACACATCAGTCACTTACATCACGCACACACTCTAACCTTACCTGAGAGACCTGTACGCTGGGCAGCCGTTCCCTCAGTTTCTCGATTACGCTCTTAGCCAGCGGAGCGCCGCCGCAGGCGATCACTTGCAGCGAACTCAAATCGTAGCCGCCCATCTCGTTTCCATCCCCAAACTTCGTCAACGCCACGGCCACCGGTGGGGACCAGGCCACGTGGGTGATTCCGAACCGCTCGATGGATCTTAACATCGCCTTCATATCGAACCTCGTCATCCACACCAGCGTGTCCCCCGTCGCCAAAACTCTCAGGCAGTACGCGAACCCGTACACGTGGAAAAACGGCGCCGTACAGAGACACACAGTGTGTGGAGCCGACGCGTTTCGAGCCGCGCTGTTGGCCAAATTGGATATCCAGTTCCGGTGAGTCAACGCCACGCCTTTGACCCTCCCGGTCGTCCCCGACGAGTAGAGAATCGTGGCTGTGTCCGATTGGCTCACGCTAATTTGGTGCCACTCGGTCGAACTCGGACACGTCAGCATCATGGACTCGAACTCGGACGAGTCGAGGAGGACGGTCCCGAGGCGGAGGAAGTTGGGGATTTTGTGAGCGGTGTCGGAGGTGGCGAATGCGACGGCGGGGTTGCAGAGACGGATTTGACGGGAAATTTCGGGATTGGAGCTGGCGGGGTTGGAAGGAGAGACGATGACGCCGAGGTAGAGGAGAGAAAGGTGGAGGATGGGGAGGTGGAGGGAGTTGGGGGAGAGAACGAAAGCGCATTGGCCGTGGGAGAGACCGAGCCGGGATTGGAGCGAGGCGGCGAGGTTTTGGACACGAAGAATGAACTCGGGGTAGAGAATTTGGTGACCGGTGGTGGCGTGGAGTAGGGCGGGAGTGGAAGGCGGGGGAGGGGAGTGGTGGAGGCGGGAAAAGAGGTAGTGGGTGACGGAAAGAGGCGTGGTTTGAAGAGGGAGTTGGGATTTGGGTCTGAGGCTGTGGAAAGTTTTGGTCTTTGAGCAAAACCCGCTCTTTGGATCGATGCTGCCGCCACCGTCGCCGCTGCTGCTCTTCTGTTCAGTGGCCATTTTTGTATCAGTAGTTTGAGGTTGAGGTTTCAGGATTTGAATTGGAAATGGAGGTATTAAAATTGGGTTTGGATTACTAAGTAGTTAATTGCGTTTGTAATTTGTCCAATAACGCGTCACGTTTTATCTTTTGCGCATCCGCTCATGCAAGAGCCATTTATTTGTTGGCTCTGTGTATACAAGTCCATATCGATCTCCAAACCAAATATATAAAAGTCCATCAATATTATCAAACCAATTCTTTCTTTATCGGGAATTAGAGTTTAAAGCTTATTATAGTTCATGAACAAATGTTAAATTAAGAGCTAGTTGACATATAAAATCATGGATGATTTTGTATAAAATCAATTAAAAGTTATGATATTAACAATAGGTCGATCAAATTTATTGAAATTATAAATAAGTCAATGAGACTTTAAGATACATTAAAACAAACATCAATCAAATTAAAATTACAAATGATGCCATTATTATTTAAAACGCCAAACATTTCCATCTCCCTCATTGTAAATCGTTGAACAGCCATAAAACACTCTTAGACTTCAACCTCCCCGCCTCCCACCACCTTCAACCTCCATTACTTCAACCTCCTCCGCCTCCCACCGCCTTCAACCTCCATCACCTCCCACCACCTTCATCATCCGACGAACAATTCGCATTTGCGTTGATTCCAACAAACAATTCACACTTGCGACTGAGAAATCATGATCAAGGTAATTTGTTTCTTCCTGTTTTCGTCTTGTTCTTCAATTTTTACGTTTTAGGTTATTTGAGTTGTGTTTTTGAGAGATTTGGTGTAATTTTGCACATTATACCTTTTGGTTTTGAATTTGAGCTTGTTTGTATGTTAAAATTGGTTTGGGCATATGACAAATTTAGTCTGTTTCAACATATTTGTTGGCTCTGTGTATGTTTATTCATGGTGGTTGTGTCATTTAGTTTAATCGCCGCTTCCCGTGTGTCTGTGATTGTGCATTGAGATTCAAATAGATTTGTGGATTCAGATACTGCAACGCAGTGTCTGTTTCTTGTTCTGTGGATTCAGACACTTCGTTGCAACGTCTGTTTCTTGTTCTGTGATTGTGCATTGAGATTCAAACACTGCGTTATGTAGATTCAGACACTTCATTGCAGTGTCTGTTTCATGTTCTGTGATTCTGCATTCAAATTCAAATAGGTTTGTGGATTCAGACACTGCAACACAGTGTTTGTTTCCTGTTCTATGAATTTAGACACTTTGTTGCAGTGTCTGTTTCTTGTTCTGTGATTGTGCATTGAGATTCAAGTAGGTTTGTGGATTCAGACACTGCGTTGCAGTGTTTGTTTCTTGTTCTGTGAATTCAGACACTTTGTTGCAGTGTCTATTTCATGTTCTATGCTTTTACGTTAATGGATTCAGACATACAAAATTAATATCGCTAACACAAACTTTATATTTTTTTTCTTTTACAGTTGAAACATGTCCCCAAAAAAAGTTAAGGGGATACATAAACAAGTGAAAGAGAAAATGATGGATATTATTGATTTGCACTCGGGAGGATATTACTGATTTGCACAATGGTAAGTATTGTTAGTTTTATGTAGCCTCTCATGAAAAATTTGGTTCTAGTTAGGCTGTTTTGTGATCTATATTTTCTAAGCCATATATATCTCTACTAGACATATATATGGTTCTAATTAATATGAAAAAATTTCCATGGGGTCAGCTTTACTTTTCGTGGTTACGAACCCTTATCAAGTTCTACCTTAAGGGGTTGATAGGATTTGGAGCAAATAAGAATCAGAGAGGGGAGGAAAAAAAAAAAAAAAAAAGTCAAGATAGAAGGGTATAAGGGTATAATAGTTATTTTCTAGCTAGCTTAAACCCATGTGACATGCTTCATTGACCTATGAATAATTATTATAAATATTTGATTGATTATGTCCTAAAAGAAAATAGAATATTGATTTATGACTTGTGGAGCCAAAAAAAATCAAGAAACGACATGTGGATTTTTGGGCAGAAATGACAAAATTACCCCTGAGAAGCATCGGAATTCTCATGCACGAGCAGTGGACAATCATCCCACAATCAAGTCAAAAGTGCCCAAAATAGGTATTTATTCAAAACCTATTTCATCTATCTTCTCCACAAGGTAACCCCCAAAACATTCCTTTTAAATTATGTTAATTAGCTAATTAATAGATTTATTACCTAATTAATCTATTAATAGCTAATTAAACTACCAATTACCTACAAAATACACTCAAAAACACCACAAAGGGCTGGCCACCTTCTCCCCCCATGCCCTATATAGACTACCCCATTTTCTCTAAAAACCTAAGTCTACACTCTTGCTAAATACTCAAAATTCTCCGAAAACTTTTTCTCTCTAAATTCTAACTTTGGCATCGGAGGTTTTTCGGCCAAAGCCCCCCCCCCCCCGGCCCCCTTTCATCGTGGACGCGTGAGGTTCTTGACCTTGACCTAAGGTGTTATTTGTTTTGTAGGTGCAATTTTGTCCAAGAATAAGAAGGAAGAAATTTGCATCCACATGACTAATTAGTAAAGATTTTATTGACCTTTAGGCTTTAGCTAAATAACCTTAAAATCAACTATATGACATGCTAAACTTAGTTCCGTTACCAAATGTGTGTCATTTTCCACCAAATAAAAGAATTGATTTGGAATATATATTCAAGTGGACTGAAAATTATCTTGATTGACGTAACAATAGGAAAATTTAAGCATTTTAGAATTGAGCTTCAAGCTCTGAATTGGGCTCAATCTCCATCATTCTCAAGTCGAGATCGTGAGGCACTTATGATACATATAATATTTTGCAGTATTGTTTGTGTAAACTGGTCTCAACTTATGACTATGGAAATTATGGGCTAGGCTCTCTATGGCGAGCCTTAATACTCCATTTTTCACAGAGCAAATTAGAAATCAAACTTATCGCTTCAATGTGATCTATGAACTTCATTAGATCAAATTCTCTTGTCATATTTGAAAATTATGTTTTCTATGCTAGAGATGCCAAGAGAGCAATATCGAGAATCATACTTATTGTTTTGATGAGACGTAAGAGCTTTTCATCTTAAATTCTATTGTCAAAATTTTGTTATTTTGAATTATGTTTTCAAATAGAATTGCTAGCAACGCCTATTTGATGTAGGTATTAAATTGAGGTGTTTTTGTCAAATCAAGTCCTCTTAAACTGGTGATTTCTTAAATTTAACGAAGATTTTTTCAGAAAAATGACCAAAATTATTGACGATGGACAATTTCAGGGACCATTTCTATTGATTAATTCTCAAAAACCAAAATAAGGAATTATGAAAACTATTTTGGCTAAAAACCATAATTTTTTAATAATTTAATACTTCCACTCTTTAGAGTTGTTGTTTAATTTTCTTCAATTATCACGCTATATTGCTACCTCAAAAACATACATCATAAATTAGTGCATTGAATCATATCCTTCCACGAAAACTCTTTCCCTATTTAACTATACCAAAATCATCACCATCTCAAACGAATCATCTGCCACCTCCAATGCTCCAACCCACTTGAATCAAACCACTCCAGTCTCCAATCACCGATCCCCCACCAATTAATTAACCTTAAACCCCAATCAAAACCGCATAATCCGACATGCTTAATTAGCTTAGTTGTCACATATGTCGGCCAATGATTGCTCTTCCGGTGCGGCCATAACTGGCCCGGGAGATGTTCTTATTTGGCGGGAACACCGAAGCCTTCGAATTCGACAAAGTTGGTGTTCTAAAATATGAAACAACAAAAGCATTTTCTAAGATTACAGATCCGACATTTGTTGCGAGTCACTTTTTGTCCCTTTTGTTCCCAATACATGTCACTCAATCATCGTTTTATCTTCCCCTTAAAGAATTCCAATTTCCAGGTCTCCAGGTTAAGTATATTCTTAAGCGTAAAGAAAATCCGAAGATTTAGAAAGAAAAAAACCTGGGTTTTGATCTGATTCTTTAACCCGACGACAGGCTGGTCCTGTAAATTAATTTGCAAAAAGATTCCAACTTTCCTACTTAAAGCACCAAAATCTCAACTGGGTTGCCACCGTTTTATCTCTAAACCCACTATAATCTCAGCTTTAAGCTCCCTAATTAAGCTCTTAATCCATCCATGGCGGACCCTTTTGTAAAAACAGAGGAGCCACCTTCCCAACTTACCCCTCTTCTCGATTCTAATAACAATAACAACCACCACCATAACAACCACCACCTGGGAGGAGAAGAAGAATATAAAGACACGCAATTGGACCAAACCCTCCAATGGCTAGAAACGTTTCTCACTCTCTTGGGCTTCAACCAATCTTCTTGGTTGAGCCTTGCTCTGTCCTGGACGGCTCTGGTTCTCATCGGTGTGGCTCTTCCGGTGGTTGTGCTTGTGGTGTTCAACTGCTCCGACTGTGACAAGTATCAGATTAAAGGGTTCGAGCTCGTTATCGTGGGATCGCAGGCGGTTCTGGCGGCGGTCTCTGTGCTCTGCATCTCTCACAGTCTTCGAAAGTATGGCATTCGGAGGTTCCTTTTTGTTGACCGCTACAGCGGTCACATGGTTCGGTTTCGAAACGAATATATCAAGCAGATTAAGGTATAATTTGAAATGGTTTACTTGATGAATTGATTGTGTTAAGAAAATTATGCTATGCTCCGGTATATGGCATCCGTTGAATGAATGTAGCATTAGATGTGCGGCCAATGATTCAACGGCCACAGATGTAGGTGTATATAGCATGCTAGAATTTTCCATATATGAACGTAAAATGTGGTAACCAAATTTTCTTGGGACATATATCTTGGCAGGATTCTTTCTGCTTGCTCGTTCGGTGGGCGCTCCCATGTTTTCTTCTGAAGACTCTACGTGAGGTCGTTCGGATGATTTATGTCCATCAGGATTCATCGGGGTGGGGGATGTCGATTGGCGTACTGTTAGCCTTGGTTCTGTCATGGACTTATGTGAGTACAATCACTCTAACAGCCAGCATTTTGTTTCACTTGGTCTGCAATTTGCAAGTTATCCACTTCGACGATTTCGGAAGGGTCTTGGAGAGGGAATCTGACGTGCTGGTGTTTATGGAGGAGCATATCCGTCTGCGCTACCATCTCTGTAAAATAAGCCACAGGTTCCGGATCTTCCTCCTGCTGCAGTTCATAGTTGTCACCGCAAGCCAGTTTGTGACTCTATTCGAGACCACAGGATACAGTGGCGAAATCAGTGTCATAAATGGAGGCGATTTTGCAGTACGTTCAACGCTTTTTGTGTGTATCCGATTGTCGGTAGAGTAACTTCCCGCTCATAATTCCTTCCTATTTTTTCTCCCAAATTTTCAGGTCTCCACGATTGTTCAAGTTGTCTGCATTATCCTTTCCCTGCACGCAGCAACCAGAATTTCCCATAGAGCGCAAGGCATAGCGACAGTTGCCAGTAGATGGCACGCGTTAATGACATGCAGTTCTAACGATACATCTAACAACAGAAGCTCAAACGGCTCGGTGAACTCAGAGGCTGCCAATGCATTAAACTCGCTGCATATAAGTTACTCCGACAGTGATTTGGAGTCGATGGATTATGTTCAAATGCCTAGAAACACACAGCTGGCTTCGTACATGTCTTCGTACCACAGGAGACAAGCTTTTGGTATGGATCAGCTTTCATTGCTTCTGAAATACATTTCTTTGTATTCTCTTAGTTCGCTTGTGTTGGTTGTTGAAGCGGCGGATCACGATCCATGTTTTTATTCTCCAATGCAGTGTTGTACTTGCAAACCAACCACGGAGGGATCACAATATTCGGATGGACGGTCGACAGAGGCCTCCTCAACACGATCTTTTTCATCGAACTATCTTTGATTACCTTTGTGCTTGGAAAGACGTTAGTTTTCTCCTCAACTTGATACGTTCCCACTCTTTCCCGGCCACATTGGCGTTGAGAAACCGACCTGCGAAAAAAGAAGTTCAGGGTTCATGCCCAGAATCGTTGATTTGTTCTGGTTTGCATCGTCATCTCTTCACGATGTGGTACTTTGAAGCGTACGACTTGTTTCCGACTACAAGTCCAGCGGTCGGAGAGAAATAGGAAGAAACTTGTATGTTGTAAACTGTATACTTCAAATGCCAAATTCACGCTTCCTTTTTGTATACCTTCTACATAGGAGAAGAGTTTAAGATGATTTATTTATTTATTTATTTTGGTCGACGGTTTAAGTAGACTGGAAGGTACCATTTTTCATTGTTGTATTGAATGCCAAATTATGTAATTTTTTTCGGAAATTACAAAAACGCTCGAGTTTCTGCGTTCACTAACATATAAAAATATCATTTTTTTTTCTCAACTTCTCTCTACAATTACTTATGCGTAGAGTATCAAAAGTACAAATTTTCACTAAAAAATCGTATCAAATTATAAAAAAATAAAAATTGAAACGACTAGGGTACTAATTGTTCTGATTCCCTTTCCTATGCATTTCCCACTTTCTTCCAAATGAGGAACACGTTTGGCGAACCCGGTTGCACCAATTTTCACCTGACTACCCAGGTTTCATTGTCGCATGCCTAAACCAAACATCAAATTTTTGGAATGGACCGCTTAGCCAAATTCCCCCTTCCCTTAGTGTAAAAAATATCGATGAATTTAAAAAAAAAAAAAATATATATATATATATATATATTTGGAATGGACCGAGACAAGCAGTGAGATTAATACACTACAGACTAATCGGTGCGCAAATGCAAACTAACATTTTCGACAATGCAGACAGAATCGAGTCCCACAACGGCAGATCGTTAGCTGTGATTGTGCATAAACTTCATCAGCTAATTACCTGTATGTGCATGCGATGTCTCTACCGCCTTAATCTGCCTCTCGAGCCTCAATCAGCCACCACCTGCAGAAAAGCATATGGCAAAGTATTTGTCTACATTCCACCTAGGCTTACTGATTCTTCTCATACGATATTTGGTTAAGTTTATGGGAAGCAGACAACTACATTCCATCTTCAAGCAACCCATTCGACTCCAGCCGTGCCTATAATGGAATTACGATACAGATAAGCAACAATAACCGAATATCAAGGAGTGTCCTCTTATCCATTAAAGAGACGAAAATTCTGAAAACCCATTCATCGATACAAAACTACAAAAGTTGCACCATATGCCAACAAAGGTCGTTAAAATTGAGAATACATATTAAGGTGCAGATTAGTCATTTTGCAAACATATTCACATCTTCAAATGACCAACACTGTATTTGGAATTTGCATGAATCAAGGTAGATATATATATTTATAATCAGAAAAACATATGGATTGAAAACACACAGAAAATCAAGACAGCACAATTGGCGGAAAATCAGCTAGAGTTTCCTCTAAACCATGTATATAAACCGTAGTTTATATGCTTCGAGTTAGTCATCCCTATACATCAGCGGACCACCTTAACCCTAACTTTTTCTAAACATAAGTTTCAAACTTTCAAACGAATTACACCATCGTACTAACTTATATCCAAAGAAAAGACTCCTATAACTCTTCCAGCTTTCAACAAGATGGTGTTTGTGAACCAAGCCTTAAGTATTCGTAAGGATACATGCATTGGCTTTTCAAAGTTCATTATATAGAATAATTTTGGACCAGAATTCATATCCTCATTTATGTCCTAAAAAAAATGCACGAAACAAGACAAACATACAAAAGAAAGGGCTAGATGACAAAATATGTTTCTATCGCTACTATAACTAGCATTTCAGTATCTACGCATTCAGATTTTAAGCAGCATTGAATTTTATTCAATTATATGAACAACATAAAAGCAAGCTGAATGGCCACAACATGCTCCTGAAATTGTCAAATTTAGATTATGAACTGTCCAGGAATTGCAACCAGAATTGATTTTTATTCTTCATTTTCCTAATGCATTTCTCAATACACTTCTGGAACCAAAAAAAAAAAAAGCATACACTAAAATGCCGTCAAAATAATTCACAGAAAAAACCATTAAGATCCGAAGAAGATAACACCAAAATCTAAACAAACCAAGGGTTTGCATAGTACCTCTAGTTTGCCCGTAGGAACAACTAAATGAAGTTCTATAAATTCCTGGAAGTGCAGGAAACCTCCTCAATTTGCTTGCTTTGATACTGCAGTGACATGCGCAGATATACGTCATAAACAAATCTGGAACTAGTGAAATGTTGATTCTTCACCACCAGAAGCAAAAAAGGGAATAACTGGACAAAGTGAATCATTTTACATGTCCACGGGTACTGATGGAGGTCAAATACCAAAAATGACACTAACAAGGCACTGAAGTAAATAAAGAATGAACTACTACACCAACACAGGGTAACCATAGAATAGAATCAATTTGGTACGAACTCACTGAAAATTTGAAAATAAAAGAACTACACTAAGCAATAAAGTTGATATCTGAAAAACTCGATGCCTACCCAGCCCAGAAGCAAAAAGAGAATGAATATAGTTACAGTTCTTGTGCACATATATTAGAAAGGTAAATTACCATGTAAACAGTCATGTACAGCATTGTTTTTAATACGTATTTTGAGGGCTTCAACTTCCAAGAAGTAACAGAAAAGATGTTTGTTCACTATCCAACAAATGTTTTAAACCAATATATTGTCTATATTATAATTAAATAATACCCTTATGGCTTAAAATCTTCATCCCCCAGAACATTCCACAGATATCAGAGAGTAACATATTACCTTAAAAAATAATATGGTAACTGTCAAACTCTTCATCTAGAAAAAGCAAAGAATGCCCCTCCACTTCACACCAACCGCCTCTTGCAAACACAACGTGAATATTAAATATGTTCTAATATAACTGGCAGTGCTAATATTGAAAAGCAAAAGAGAGCTGTTTACAATGTACCAACAAAAATATGTTACATTCACGAGTTTCAGCTGCAATTGATTCTCTTTTCTAAAGAAAAGGCAATGAAAGTAATGTCACAGATGCATTCCTATACGATGATCAAAGATGAAAGGCAAAGTTAACCTCGACATGAAAGCAATGTCACAGATACATTCTCCAACCAAATCATGAAGTGCCTGCTAAAAAACAGCACAAATGATCATCTGACATAGAATGTTTGCAACTTCCGTTTGAAGCATGTCTCTCACCTCAGCCATGTCCAATATCAAGGCCACAGATCACTGATTCATTTCTACTAGCCAAATACTCCACCAGTTCCTATTTGCCCTTGCTGCAACTCCTTTCTACGTTGCTCTTCCAAAGGATCTGGACTTTTCAACACTCTCCGCGTGCGCCTATTTACAACATGAATTTTGTTAAATGTAGGAAATCAAGTCCCAAGTAATACCACATGTGGGACTTGTTTGTAGCAATAGATAGATCAAGATACCTGTCCTGAGCATGATGAGCAGGAAAGGTAGGCATGAACTCCTTCGTTGTAGGAAGAGGAACTTCACGAAACCACTCATGATTCAGAGCATCTCCAGCTGTAATTCTCTGTATAAATTACAGTACATGTATAAGCAACTATACCAATCATACCCAAATAAAGCAAGTCTAGGTAGCAGACTTACCTCTTCAGGGTCATAAGTTAGAAGCCTGTTCAACAAATTAAATCCAGCATCAGAAAGTACTGGAGATCCAGTAAATGGCGTAGCTGGGAACTTCTTGCGCAAAAGATTATACCTGAAAGAAACAGGTCAGAAGTTAATTCATAAATGAAAAGCTTAGAACTGAAAGCATCACCAATGGAGGCCAGATAGCCAGATGAGAATCACCCAAAGCTGGAAGCCTGGGAAAACAGCGGCAAGAATAAGAACATCAAGATGTCACAATGAAAATTTGGGAATTACTTCAAAAAATATTCATACTTACGGGTGCTTGACAAAGTTGACCTTCACTCCAGGAAGCTTGGAATATCCGGGCCAGATTGTCTCATTTGGTGTGCCAAGGATTCTAAAAATCTGTAGTGATTATAAATTTTTATGAGAAGTGCAGTGATTATAAACTTAAAGAATAAAAATAACTAAATCCGCAAGTATGTGAATGAGTAAGAAAGTAATCAAACATCAAGCACATCAAATAAAATTAACTTACCTTGTCAAGTTGATCAAATTCAGTTTTCCCATTGAAAAGTGGCTCCTTTGATAATAGTTCAGCCATGATACAACCAAGTGACCACATATCAATAGCTGTTGAATATTCTTTCGCTCCCAACAGAAGTTCCGGTGCCCTGCATTGAAATAGCATTAATGACTAAAACTTTTGAGGGTACACAAAAGTATGCATCTACGATCTACATATAACATACACAAACACACATATACATGCACACCAGGCAAAAGCAAACAATAACCCACACATAACAAATAAAACAAATCATAGGAAAGACAATTGTGGAAAACCGGACCAGCTATATCAATGGCCTTTATCACATTAAACCCATCATGACTAACATATGCTGAGATGGCATCAACCTTGAAATACAAAGAGAGATGCCAAGAATACAAAGTTAATTGTACAGTCAAATTACTTGAGAATAAAAAGAACTGAATCCAATAACAATGAAAACCCGTGAAACCATATGTCAATCTTGAAATTCAAAGTGGAAGTCGTCAACCAATTAAAAAAATCAAAGATGAATTAATAGGTTAAACTGATACGCATAAAACACCTAAAGGATGAAATTAAAAATAAAATAAAGAGCAATGGGCAGTTGCAGCTCACCTGTACCAAAGTGTAACCACCAAATGAGTATATGGTTTTAAAGGACTCCCGTACTGACGAGCCATCCCAAAGTCACATATTTTCAACTCACCCCGGTTATTCATAAGCAAGTTAGATGTCTTCAAATCTCGATGAAGCACCCAATTATCATGAAGATATTTCACACCTGCCAATAACTGAAGCATAAGGCATTTAACTTCACTCTGACTGAATGGCTGCTTCTTTGTCTCCATGAGTGCTTTAAGATCATGTTCCATGTACTCCATCACCATAAAAATACTATCAAGGTTACTCCCCACCACCACTTCCTTCACATCAACAATTGATGGGTGATGAAGCGAAAGAAGAATGTTTATTTCCCTAAGAGAAGTCAATGGGAAACCTTCTCTTTCCTTCTCCATCTTTACCTTCTTCAAGGCCACAATTTCTTTAGTTTTCTTATCCATAGCTCTATATACAACACCATAAGTGCCTTCATCGATCTTGTTTAGTCTCTCAAACTCGTCAACACTTCTACAACCCTGAAGCATGTTCACGCTTCTTTGTGGAGGAGCTGCAGGTTCTGCTGTCTCGCGAGAGTTATTGTCATCATCTGAATCTGTGTCTGACTTACTAACACTAGAATCATTATTACCATGATCCTTGTCAGTATCCATAAAGTCATCCCTCTCTGAATCATTATCATGGTAATCATCCCTACTGGAAGATCTTATACGGGCATCTGTTTCATCAGATTCAGATGACTGCGCTCTTGCTCGTTCGGACTCGTCTCTCTTAAGCTCCCCCGACTCTGAGTTTAATGAATTATTCTGTACTCTATCTTCCACTGACCCTACCAGAGGAGTTTTCTTCCTCCTTTTAGGCATTTCCTGGTTCTCTAAACTTTCACCTTCATCACCAGGTGATATGTTTCCTGCTGCCCATCTTGAAGATGATATATTACGGGTGGGGACATATTCTTCATCTTCTAGCTGCTCTGCTTCATGATCATCACCCGATTGCTGATTTGGTGAAGATATCCCTAGTGGAGACTCAGAGACACCATTACTAACATACCCAGACGCCACTGGCGCCTTAACTGGTGAGGAAGATTGTAAATTCTCGACTTGATCAATTTTAGCTGAAGATACTTGTACACTGATATCTGAAATAACATTAGGAGACTGATGATGTACCCTAGACAATGATGGTGGTGGAGGAATTGCTGCACCCGCCGTGGTGATCTTACTTTTTGATGGATTACTCACTCCTTTGTCATCTCTATCCCAGACAATTGGCGAAAACTTCCTTTTCTTCTCTTTTGGAGACTGAGTTCCATTCTCCACAACTTTTGAAACCATACTTTCTTTGACCTGCACTGCCGATTCAATAGCATCGTCAGACCCACTCTCACTCGACAATTCACCAGGTTCCCTATCCAATGCCCTAACCGAAAACCCACAAGGCTTGGGCCCACGGCTCACAACCCAACCACTGCTATTGCTTGAATCATTCCTAACCGAAGAGGAGCGATACCCACCATTAGCCGCATTCCCCTCCTTAATATCCTTCTGCCTAACCCTAATTTTATCTCTCAAATCCCTAGCTTGACCCATTTCAACATCAGGACTTCCGTTCCTAATCCTTTCATAGTCCTCTTTGGCCGTAGCAAAATCCCTCCTTGGAAAATCAAAACTGGACTCGCGACCCCTGAACTCATTTTCGCGATGGTCCCCATGTCTTCCAGCAGCCATAAATCTCTATATCCAAAGCTCTAAATCACCACGGAATAAGGAACCCTTATCCCAATTCAAGTTAGCTATAAAACACTAACCCTAAACCCCCACAAAATTAGCCCAACTACTTGTTCCCAATATTTGAATTGAAAATTCACAAAATTCGAAGAAATTGAACACGCAACCCTAAGTCCCAACGGACTCGGATCCAAAAACAAAACGAAATTCAAACAACAGAGCAGAAAACAATACCAGTTACTTATTCAATTCTCGAGCTATGCAGCCACGGAGATTACTCGATTTCGAAACGAAACCCTAGAAATTGAACAAGCAAAGAAATTGATAAATAGGTATAACTGGGGGAATTCGGGTTTGAAAGGAATTGATTGATACTGTTTCAAGAAGAGAGACGGCGAGCGCCGACTGTAAAGCGAAAGGAAAGCCCTCGACGGAAGACCGAGGAGAGGGAAAGAAGTGCGTACGCAGGTGCTTTGAGGTCGGATGGGCCTTTTGGCTTTGCCAATTTTATTTTCCTGCTTTTATTTTGTTTTTTGTTTTTTATTGATTTATTCAGTTGGCAAAATATCCGTTGACTCAATTTCCATTTTTTCTGGGGGCTGGGGGTGGAGTGGGGGTTGTCATGAACCTTTACTATCAAACATTTTGCCCTGTCAAAAGATTTTCTATTTGGGGCAAAATTTTAAGATTTCACTACAATACATGTGTACTTGAAGTATTGTGTCTTAAGTTTGGAAGAGCGGAATAAACGTGGATTCAAGAACTCATCTCAATACGATGCGATGGTTCTTAACTTAATTAAGTTCATTATTAGATTTTGATTGAGTTTTTTTAAAATGGCTCATTTCGCTGCTAATGAATCTATTTTATGGAAATGGAATATGCCTATGAATAGATAGTGCTTGTTGTTGCTGCTTTGATGTAGCGTTTTTGGTTTTGCTGTCTGTTTTTCTTGTGTCTACAAATCTTTGTTGCCTTTTTTTTTTATTTTTACAGTAGCACTTTGCTTCTTGTATTATCTTTTTCTCATCAATATATTTTATTTATAATAAAACAAATTTGTTGCAACCATTTCATTATCGCCTTTTCATGTCTCTCTCATTATTAGAAATAGAAAGTTTTAACGAAAAACTCACGGTACTGTTCATTTTAACGAAAAACCGTATTTTTACACTAAAACGTCAATCCTGGTACTATTCACTTTACCCTTTATTTTGTCCTTATCGTTAAAACTCAATGTTTTTAAGCCATTTTTATTAGTTTTTCTTATCATAGACTTCCAATATCTCTCTCTTGTTCATGTGATTATGTAACTGTGGCAAGGGCAATGTGGAGGCATTGGCTGCTATTGACCCTAATAACTTACATAATCTCCACTTTGAAATTTCATTTGACCCATATACTAGCTTAAGACAAATGAAATAAACAGACCCTTAATCAATATTTTTTAACTGACACAAATCAAAACTACGTCATCTATGTTATGTTTCACTTAAAAAAAAAATTAGCACGATTACGGATTAGTAATCATGTCATTAAACGCACGAGACTGATTTGATGAGAGCAAGTTACATGCTTTTCCTCCATACCAAACACACAGACATCCCCATTGACATACAAATTAGGGTAAAGTACAAAAAACTACCTCAACTATTGGGGTCACGACAGTTTCATACCTCATCTTTTAAAATTAACAATGTCATACAGCATCTTACGAATTTGTGACAATGTCATACCTCCGTCAAATTTTCTGTTAGTTTTTCTGTTAAGTGCTGACGTGGCAAGAGATAGAGATCACTTTCTATTAAAAATTAATAAAATATTATTAAAAACTAAAAAAAAATTTTAATATTTTTAAATATTAAAATAATAAATAAAAGTTAAAAAAAAAAAAAAAAAACCATTGTCGTCCCTTCCTTCCCCCTCTCTCTTCCCCATCTTCATCTTCTTCTTGCTTAATCTTTAACAAAAAAAAAAAAAAATTGAAAACACAACCCCCCCCCCGGGCCCCGCCCCCCAGGAAAAGGAGGAAGAACCGAAGAAGAAGAAGAAGAAGAAGAAGAAGAAGAAGGAGGAGGAAGAAGAGGAGGAAAATATATATATATATATTTGAAAACCCAACTCCACCCACGCCCGCCCCCCCCCCCCACCAAAAGGAGGAGGAAGAAGAGGAGGAATATATATATATATATATATATATATATATATATATATTTGAAAACCCAACCCCACCCACGCCCCCCCCCCCAAAAGGAGGAGGAAGAATCGAAGAAGAAGAAAAAGGAGGAAGAAGAGGAGAAAAAAAAATATATATATATATATATATATATATATATATTTGAAAACCCAACCCCACGCATGCCCCCCCCCCAAAAGGAGGAAGAAGAACCGAAGAAGAAGAAAAAGGAGGAAGAAGAGGAGGAAAAAAAAAAATATATATATATATATATATTTGAAAACCCAACCCCACCCACGCCCCCCCCCCCCCAAAAAAAAGGAGGAGGAAGAACCGAAGAAGAAGAAAAAGGAGGAAGAAGAGGAGGAGGAAAAAAAAAATGGAAACTGCAACCCAGGAAAAAAAAAATCCAGAAGAAGGAAGAAGAAAAAGAAGAAGAAGGAGGAGAAGGAGGAAGAATGAGAAGAAGAAGGAGAAGGAGGAAGAGGAAGAAGAAAACCCATCAACTCAACCCCCCTCCCAGCCCACCCGCGGAAGAAGAAGAAGGAGGCGAAGAGGAAGAAGAGGAGGAGGAGGAGGCAAAAAAAAAAAAAAACCCAAACTGCAACCCATAAGAAGGAAGAAGAAGAAAGAAAAATTAAAACATCCCCTCCTGCGGAGGAAGAAGAAGAAGAAGGAGAAAAGAAAAAAAAAAAAAAACCCAACCCAACCCAATTCATCCCCCCCCCCCAACACAACGCGCACTCATCTCTCCTTCCCCATCTTCATCTTCTTCCCCTTTTCCCTCTACCTGCAACCCATAAACCAAAAAAAAAAAAAAATCAAACCCAATTTCGCCCCAAGAAGAAGAAGAACCCTCTCTGTCTCCTCCCCATCTTCATCTTCGTCCCCTTTTCCCTCTACCTACAACCCAGAAACAAAAACAAAAAAAAAAAAATTCATACCTAGTTTCAGCTCAAGAAGAAGAAGAAGAAGAAGGAGGAAAAAAAAAGTGACAAATCCAGTTTCGGCCCAGGAGAAGAAGAAGAAGATGAAGAAGAAGAAGGAGGAGAGAGAAGAACAAAAAAAATTGAAATTGGTGTGGGTGAAGGAAAGGGGATGCCGCATCCCTAGGAAATTTTTTTGTTTTGTTTTTTTGTTCTTAATTTTTTAATATTTAATTATTAAAAATATATTTAATTATTTTTTAATGTAGCTGGATTAGTGAGTGGTCTCTATCTCTTGCCACGTTAGCACTTAACAGAAAAATTGACAGAGGTATAACATTGTCACAAATTCGTAAGATGCGGTATGACATTGTCAATTTTAAAAAATGAGGTATGAAACTGTCGTGACCCCAATAATTGAGGTAGTTTTTTGTACTTTACCCTACAAATTATTTAATTTTTGCTTTGTGCAACATAAGGTTGCATGCCAAAATACAAAATTATTGTAGAAAAAAAATGATATCGGTGAACTGGGGAGTCCCAAATTATTTTAGGAAAAATAAATAAACACGATAAAATTACACAGCGTTCAAATTACATATTCAACAAGTGGCAGTAAAGAAAAAAATGAAAGAGGAACGGTACGTGTACTATAAGCTATCGCTACCAGCAAAGAGAAGGCAGCTTGAAAGAGAAAGTAGAGGGCAAATGACCAGTCCTCCTTATGTAATCTGCCTTTTCTGAAGTCCTCAAAGCATTTTCATTGAGTTTGGCCTCTGCATTTGCCCTCTTTTCTTCAGCTATTCTTCTGGTTGCTGCGAGTTTATTCGTTAACTTTTCTTGGCCCCGAGTTTTCATTCTCTCCGCTTTCACCTGGTACCAAACAAAAAATAATGAGTCAGAAAGCTGCATTTCAGTAGGAATTGGTACATGGTTGAGTGTGTTTCTTATGGCCTATGATTAATACTATTGGGAAGTGGAAAAACCGAATAATGGCGGTCATCAAAACCATTGAGCTCGCTCTCAAGTTATTGATACAATTTTCCATTAATGTTGTAGTACTTGAAGAAGATGTTGATCACACTGGAGCTTTGATTCATCAACGAAGTGAGTGGGGGAAAAGGGGTTCACGCTAAGGGTAGTTTTTCGTTGTAATGATGGAAAATAACTTAGCAAATGTGAAACCAATGTCACTGATTTGGATCTGCATTTATCTTTTTCATGAAAAGAAAAGTGAGCTGATGCTAGTTCTTTCTGCACTAAGGAGAGAAACTTGAACTTTTCCGGCGACTAGTATTAGGTATCAACAAACATGTAACGCAGACAAGTAGAACAAACAAAAAATTTCCTAGAAGAAACTGAAAATCCGAACGGAATCTCAAGAACGAGTTATATACCTCCATTTTTTGCATTTCCATCTCGGCTTTCCTCTTCTCATGGTTTTCCCAGGCTTGTATTCTCAACTCTTCACGTTTATACCTACAAATCCAATAAACAATTGCCCCAATAAGTCCCAACATTTGAGTAGAAAATACTCAAATTAATTGCAACTGGTTGTAATTAACCAGCAAAAACAAATCAGAATGTCAGTAACTCACCTTGCCATATATTTGGCACGTTCTGCTTCATCCCAAGCCATTGCTTTTGTTTCCAAGGGACTCGGTTTCGTACCTTGATCTGAACTCGGATTCTCAAACAAATTCTTGCAAGCATTTGATTCTTCTGCATAATGTTTCGCTGTGCCGCTCCCTCTCCCACAAGAACTGGTCTGATCATGACTACTTCTTCCCCCATCAGTTGATACTTGATACCCCTGATGAGCGCCCTGCCTCCCATGCTGGCACTGCCTCGCCGGGGTAGATGACCCCGAAGATATAGGGCTGCGCGCGGCCAGAGTTGTTGCTCGAATAGGGGTGGTAGTTCTTGAAGGTTCCTGGCTTGCAGTAGGGGTCATTTCTGTCCCCATGTCCCTCAAACATATAGATCTCATAGTCGCCGTCGAGTTCTCCATAGATTTGTTGCTGCTTCTCCACACTGAATCATCACAATCCACTTTCTTCGTCTCCACATCGTACTGATTCGCCATAGCTGACCTAGGACAGCCATTTTCTTCTTGTTGGTGATGTTCTTCTTCTCCATCTGAATAGTCCTGCTCCTTCTGTGGTACAGGAGCTATGAGTCTCAAGTCATCAGCATTTGAGTTTCTGGGTTTGTTTTTTTCTGCTCCTCTGGACAATCCCACCAACCATTTTTGTGCATCATCCCATTTGGAAGGTGTTGGTTTTCCCAAGGCTGTTCTGTGATGGGGTGTCCTGCTACCTCCATTTGCTTTCTGAAACTCAAAATTTATACCAGTCCCTCCAGAAATCTCCTTATCCTCTATGGATCTCATTTTCCTCAAAATTCACAAATCTCTCTCTCTCTCTCTCTCTCTCTCTCTCTCTCTCTCTCTCCCTCTCTCTCTCTCTCTCTAAACTAGAACACCATCCCACAGTATCCACTCAACCAAGTTGCAAAAAAAAACTACTATTTTGCAGTCTGCAATTGCACAGAGCAGATTCTAAGCAAAACCAATAAGATTAAAGATTCTATCTTTCTTAATTAACTTGTCTAACTTAATACTAAAACAGATCTGGGATGCAAAAACCAGTCCAAATATCTCACCCCAGAAAAACAAAAACTACTAGGAATTATGCAGCTTGACAGATAACCATACAAAAATACATAGATTTTTTCAGTAACATGCTTAGAGCACATGAGATGTAGACACCGACTAATAATCTTCCTACCCACTAAGAAGTAGCTACAATGCAAATAGACAAAAACAACTACATGAAACCAAAATTAATTACACTGAGAAGCAAAAACCCAGAAGAAAAAAAATATCTGAAACTTCCAAAACTGTAGCAAGGGACCAGGGGCCCATCTGGGATTTATCCAAAAATGCCAACTAACCTCTAAAGATTAAAAGTTTAAACCCGAATTAACCTGAAAGGTCAAATTTTTAGGGCAGATAACCTATTTGTGAAATGTCCCAGCTGAGAATTTAGGTGCAACTGGGTCCTATACTCCTATGACCGTGAGAATAATAGACCTTTTAGGCATGGAATTTTGTGACTGCAGAATTTACAAATGAAAGTTCAGATCCATTCCGCCATTAAAATACTTAAAAGAAATGCATGGCGGTAACAGTAAGAAATGGACTCGTTAGAAAACGAATTTCTCTGGGAATTTGTGGACTGTAATTTACCGAGGCAACTACCAAGTTACAAATTTAACAATTCACCTTCACCGTCGTCACTACTCACACAAGAGGAATATTGGGCAAGGTTACAGTAAAAGCCCGCAAGAAAAAATTGAAACTTCTCGGCTCCCCAGACAGTGAGAAAGGTTTTGAAATACGGTTGCCTTTTAAACGGTAACTAGCTGACGGTAGAAATATTTCTTTCTATTAAGAACACCATCATCATTTCATTTCGTGTCTGTCTGATTTCGGGGGTATAAGAGAAAGCCGACTATGTATCACTTTATAGTTTAATATCAATTTTCGTGTTCCTGTGTCAATATTGTAAATTATTATACTAATTCACGAATAGTCTTACTTTTCAAAGAATCTCCTTAGCATTTTAAATATTTTAGGTTTGAGTGAAATAATACAATCAGTTATAACTTTTTCTGTACGTTGAAAAATTAAGAACTTTCATAACACATGTATATCTACATTGATTGTAGTACCACGCATTAAGAACTTAATGTATGTATAAATTTCATTTCGCATGATATTGTATCATGCGCATAGACATCAGATGGACACATGTATATCTACATTGTAGTACCACATATCAACAACTCAATGTATGTATAAATTTTATTTCACGTGATATTGTATCATGAGCACAGATATCAAGATGGCGATATACTCGTATCACAAAAAGTTATCGTAGATGAAGAAGGATTGATTCTCTGAGGCAACTAATATTTAATCTTTGTGCCAATACCGTCCAATAGAAAGTTATCACGTGTAAAAAAATATATCACTCGTTTAATAAACGATTGTCACGTAGTTATTATCTGTTGGTTTGATGACACGTGGACGGTGAGGATGGAGGAGAGTGTCAGTGCCCATCAGGTGCAATGTCGGGGTGGGATTTGAATTGCATTAAAATGTGGGAGACCGGGGCGTTTTCACTTGGATGTGGTGAAGAGTTTTTTTCTGCTACAAGGTCAGGGTGGGCACAAAATAGCTGCAATTGGATGATAAATGGTTGCATGTCGACGTCATGGACGATGTCGTTTCCGTACTGAATGCCAAGATAGTGATACTTCTATTACTAGCCAGTGAGAAGTGGCAAGTAAATTGCCTTTTGAAGGGTACCCGCTGGAGGGCGAGGCAAGACAAGGGCAATACCATGTGAATTACCTTTTAAAAAGTGATTGACTTTGTGCAAGTTCATCGGTTTGGCAAGGATGAAAACAAGAACGATTACTATTTACAAACACACACACACACACGTATAAGAAGCCTTTAAGAGAAGAGATTCTTATTTTTTTTTTTAATATATAAAAATAGGATTAGTTGTGGGGTTCACATCGCATCGAACTTTAATGATCTGAATCGTCTATTTTTCAAGTTGCACCTCATAGATCATCCTTACAAAATATTAGCAAAATCGAAAATATTTAAGACATCTAATTGGGTTAAAAAAAATAACGAATACTTTGTTATATAAGAAACAATAAAAATTTATCTTGAGAATTAAATAGGCAAATAATTTCGAATTGAATTTTTGCAAGGATGATATATGAATTGAGACTTACGAAATAGACGGTTCAGATCATTAACGTTCGATGTGGAGTGGGGCCCTACACCTAATCCCTATTTAAAAAAAAAAAATGGGGATCCATTTGCATAAAGGACCTATATATATTTTAATGCTTTGTAAGTGTGTTGAAATGTGTACTTTGTAAGTTGGTTATTTGAACATAAAAATTTATGTTTAACTCTAAAATTTAATTTTAAATACAGAGTAAAGCAAAATATAGCATTACAAACAAATGTAATTAACTAAAAATAGTAAATTGTAGCAATGGTCCCTTAACTTTAACTCAATTTGAGCAATGATCCCTCAACTAAAAATCCATTGCCATTGGTCCCTCAACTTTAACTCAATTGTAGCAATGGTCATTCCAACATAACTTATTTTGACAAAGTTGACAAAGATGATCATAACGACAAGTTTTGATGAGTTGATGGACTCCAATTGTAGCAATGGTCATTCAAACATAACATATTTTGACAAAATTTTGAAGAAGTTGACAAAAAGGACCATAGCTACATATTTTGATGAGTTGAAGGACCAATAGTAATGGATTTTTAATTGAGGGATCATTACTCCAATTTGATTAAAGTTGAGGGACCATTGCTACAATTTAAAAGGCAAACGAAGAAGATAGTTCAATATTTATACAATAAAAAAAATTTCCTAGTTTTTTGTATCTTTCTCCCTTCTTCTTTTATTTTTAATTATTAGATTAAGCTTGATCGTTGGATTATTATTATTATTATTGGATACGATGGTCTAAAACGTGGCACACGACCCAACAATAATTTTTTCAAAATTATTTACAATTGAAACCCAAAGGCCTGGATCATCAGGCTGTTGGAAATCCAACGGCCCTCATCTCGCCACATTAGTCAGCAGTTGGCACAAAATTTGAATCTGTAGCAACAGGGCTCATGCTATTTGAAGCTATTAGCCTATTCGCCTAATATGCGCATTATTTACATGCGTAAAAAAAAAAAATAAATAAATTAAAAAAAAAAAAAAACGTGGTTGACGTTAGCCTTGCCTATCGACGCAAGCCTTGGCTCAAATTGCTCAAACTTGAGGTTAAAAATAGTCTTACCTGTCGACGCAAGCCTGGGCTCAAATTGCTCAAGCTTGGGGCTGACGGCAGACTTGCCATCAATTGCCCTCCACAAAAAGGACCCACAAAGGGGATTTTTTGGGCTTTGGGTAACGGATGAACTTGCTCTGTGGGAAGTGGGGCAGTGGCGATTTGGAATTTGACAATAAATCACTTCACATGACATCACATGAGGGTCATGTTAGCAAATGCATTTGCTTCCATTTGCATTGTTAATAAGTGATAACATATATAGTGAGATTCTTATTAAATTCCACACCCCACACTTTGTTAATTTGTTATTTTTTGCAACACCATTATGCGCTTGTTTTCTAGTTATGAGCAATTTTGTTTATGTATACCATCGCTTTTATTTTGTAGACACAATTGTCTCATCATTTTGTTGCAGGTAAAGTTTTTATCAGTGGTAATAATAATCATAATACTATGCTAAAGTGAAAATTTTCGCCGACGAAACGTTATAACATTCTAATGACATTACATTTAATTTATTTCCCTTTGCGTTTTATGAATATATGAGCAACAAATTTAATCTCATCTTTAGCATCTTACGTGCTTGCTAACACATTTTGACTCTGATGCCGCTTAAATTTTTATTTTGTTTACTAACACATACGAAATTAAAATGCGTATAAGCCTGACATTACAACAGTGCAATATCCAGCAACTAAAAAAAATCAGAAATTATATTGATTAGGGGTAGTTGATAAATTCATTTTCTTACGTAATATTGACCCCTTGATTCATAATTTCTCAAAATTCACCCATAAATAGCCTAGTTTTCTCGATGTTCATGGGTTAATTTTTCTGTGTGCCTAGAATACAGCCCGATGCATAAAGTGTTATAATACAAATATCCAACTACTTGTATTATAAACACTTAATGCATGAGGTCATGTTTCCTGCACACTAAAAATTCTCTGATGTCTGCACCAAACATTATTTAAGGAACACCCAAAGCTACACCCATGAGCAGTTTACACATGTATTGGCCCAAGCCCAAAATATTTAAAATCAAATCTAAGCCCAAAGTATTCAGTCCAGTCCCTCAACCGACCTTCTCCAACCCACCAAGGCCCAAGCCAACCACCAAAGCAACTACCACTCCTTCGCTCTTTGATCTTTCTTGTTCCTCGCTTCAATGGAGATCTATGAAGCACGGATATGGAGGCGGAGGGATTCGGGAGCGTGAAAACTCAAAGAATCTTGATTTTGGAGCGGCGGAGATTTGCCAATTAACAAATATTAAAACTAATACGACACCGTTATCTATTTATACAAGGTCATCTTCTTCCATACGCGTCTGAAACCTTTCCGCCGTCTTCCCACCGTCGGCAACTGCAAACAAGCGAATGCCATCGGTCGAACCAGTTCGGAACACGATAAGCGTCTGAATGCACCAAACTAAATCGGAGCTGTATTTCAGCCGCTCCACAGCCTCACCAAGCAGTTTCCCAGCCGCATTGAGCCGTTGCAGTTCGTCTACAAATTGAAGCTCCCATTCTTCATATAAGGCGATGCTCTGAACGTCGTTTCAGCTTCTGGGTTATGGCGGTTTCGCGGTTGTTCAGGAGTTTTAGCGGCCTACACAAAGCCAATGCCAGAATACAAGCATACCCATTTGGCTACAAGCATAGCAGAGCCTTATCATCGGACTCTTTCAACAATGGAAACGATACGGTGCTTCCGGTTCTGATCGTCGGTGCAGGACCTGTGGGTCTCGTTTTGTCCATACTTTTAACAAAGCTAGGTATGTTCTTGTCCTAACCGACTGTTTTCCAGTCCTTAGGCCTTGTTTGGTTGCCTAGAAAATGTGGGATGGGTGAAGGAAAACTCTATAATGCTCTACTTAGCAATTTTTAATATTTTCACCTTCAAAGATACATACTTTATTATTTTTCTTTCAAAAAAAGTAATTGTAATCAAATTGTCTGTAAAGGGAGTAGTAAGTTCGAGTTGTCGAATTTTCGGTGCAAATGCTGTGCTATTACTCTTTTTAATTTGAAATCATGCTTGAGATTTTCTGGAGGTGTTTGGAATAATGTGAAACTTCTTGTTGGAAGTAAAAAACATTTCGCTTCTTTTGCAAGAAATTTTATCAGATGAAATGTACTAGGTCTTGTTTACTTGAGACATAATCATGCATTGTATCATTTTGCAGGGGTCAAATGTTCGGTTGTGGAGAAGAGCAAAACTTTCTCGAATCATCCACAGGCGCACTTCATCAACAATCGATCCATGGAGGTTGGTTTCATTTTTGGGAGATATAATTAAATTATGAGTTATTTGAGGGATTTCAAGCTTCATTTTATTGAGGAATTTCAAGCTTCATTTGAACTTGTGTATTAGTAGGTGTTTCGCAAATTGGACGGCCTGGCGGAGGAGATCCAGAGGTCTCAACCACCAGTAGATTTATGGAGGAAGTTCATATATTGCACTTCGCTCTATGGTTCAATTCTTGGGTCGGTCGACCATATG